GTAATTTTCCGAACGACCAAAAAGATTTCGGGTAATGAGCAGGTGTTCCAGAAATCATGAAAATAGCTGTAATGTATAGTGTTCGAAAAAGTCGGATCGGATTCGGATTTTGATCCGATCACAACCTTCGAATCAGTATTGGCCCGGAAAGTTCGAATTGGGTCGGATTGAGCGGGATTGGGCCTAATTTTAAAATTAGGGTGCCTAAAAATTTTCGGATTGGCCCCGGATCCAATCCGAGTTTCGGATTCAGAACGGTTTCGGCTCAATCCCGGATCAATCGGGATTTTTAGTCCGATTTGAAACACTATTAATGTACCTTGTATTGTAAGTTTATCTAGACAAACATTTTAAATAATTAAAAATACCTGTTATTATAATTAACTAGAGATTAAATAAAAAAAAAAAAAAAAACAATTAAAATTTATTATCATTGTCTAAACCTCTAAAACCTCATACGTTAATAAATTATCGTCCATCACGGGCATTTTTGCTAATAATTGTTTTCGTGTGAAATAAGGTACAACTTATATACTTAATTTATTTAAAATTACAAATTTATTTTAACGTTAAAAATATGAGTTTTCATGGTTGCGGGAGTAACTGATCCTCAAAAATGTATAAAAGATCAGTGATGTCATTAATTTGAATATTTTACTGCATTTTCTGGTTTTATAACGATGACCAATCCATACAGCAGATCGTACAGAATGATTTTTAAAATAAATAATTTAGAAATTACGGAATATCTGGATAGTTGGATGACCAAATTATATGGTAAGAGGGTGTAAAATATCTACCGTATAAGCGCGTTATTCTCGAACACGCTCATGTGCATTATTTCGAAATAAGAGAAATTTAATATAGTCGACTAGGGATGCATTCGGTCCTGAAAAAGACCGGTCCGGACTGAGACCGGGACCGTTGAAAGGACCGTTCCTGGACCGGTCCTTGTAAACAAACTATGATTTCGTATCACCCAATCAAATTACCTGACAGGTGTAACGCAGAACACATGATGTTTGTTTGCATACAAATCATTAAAAGGTCCGTTTTGAGACCGAAGACGGACCGGACCGGACCGGGACCGAAAATTATATTGGTAACGGTCTCACTAGGACCGGGACCGGACCGTACCGATGCATCCCTAAAGTCGACCTTCAATAAATGCATTTTGTTGGGTAAAGGTGCATTTATAAAATATTCATTATGGTGAGTATCTACATATAATATTAAATTATGTGCACTTATCATACTTATAGAGTGTACGCATATGGAGTATCGACTGTATAAAATTGTGTTACATTAGGATACGCGTTAATTCGGGACGCCCATGAGCGCTAATTCGAGACCATATAAGTTGTTTTTGAAGGACCCGATTTTCAAAATAACGCCCACGAGCGCTATTTCACGCTTATACGGTATTTTTAAAACATACTATACTGATCTCGTTATCAATATCGTAAAATTTGTAGATCAAAAGAAGAAATCACTACTACAATTTATATGATCCGCCGTCATGACATTCAAAATGAAGAATATTACCCTCATTTTCCATTGCGGGGAAATAAGCCGGTAGATCTCCGGTTATATGAGGGCCTTTCGGGACCTCATATAATCGGGAATTTACCTTTTACAGTTCTTGCGAAAAATAAATAGAACTTATTCACTTCTAATCTGATTTCCTATTTTTATTGATTTAATTGATGATCATAATAATAGGTGTATTTGAAATAAGCTAATTCTTTACATTTATTTTAAATTATCTGCAAGTATAGTCTAAAATATGACAAAAAAATTTTTGCTGTTCCGTGTTATTCTATCACGATAAAATTATCTACTACTTCTCATTAAGTTGCTTATTTAGGTTAATTTAACCGGCAAGTATAAAATAATTTGTTAAAGTATTCTAAAACAATGCATGCACTTTTATTAGTTTATTGTCCATGCTGATTTGGTCGATAAAAGTCTTTTATTCAAGCAGATTCAGTCAATATTATTTTTTGTTTTTCTGAAAATTTATATATAATGTTGATAATAAATTTTAGTTTTATCTGAACTCAAAGTTATATGGTGCCCTATTTACACTTGTATATTGTGAGGAGGGAAATAATACTACTTCGAAAGAGGCGTGGATTTGGACGGGTAAGTATTATTAAACAGTTTATTGTGAGATAGCTGATACATAAAGAGTGAATACACTGCTTTTATATAATACTAGTATCTGCTAAATACGCTTAATATGCTAAATAAGCTAGATGTGTTAGATACGCTAGATATGCCAAAAATGCTAAATATGCAATTTAGGCCCTTCACCCAAAATTGGCTATTTCGACTATAGCTTCGCTAGCTGTCATCGAACTTTCAATTATATTTTGTGTACAGTTAGTGTCTATGGAAAACCTGATGTTAGATTTTCCATAGACGGCTAACTGTACACAAAATATAATTGAAAGTCCGATGACAGGTTTTCCCCTGACGGCACTCAAATATAAACCTAGGTTCCATGACTAGGTCTTGGACTGGACCTAAGTTAACTTAGGTCCTAGAACTGGCTTACAAAGGCTTAGTCCATAAGTTCATGTGGTAAAACTTACTGGTTATAGGATCAGAACCGGACTGGACTTTACCAACCTACTGATTACTATATATACATCACTTTGACTCTGATACTGATAGAGGTCGTAATTAGATAAGTCGGATATAATTATTGTTCAAGATTAGCGTGAGGATTGCTCAACAAGATACAATTGCATAGTTTTATTTAAAATTTTACATGAGAATTAAAATGAGATTAGTTCTGCAGTCGAACCTTATTTATCGATTCGACTAAGTCAATTTTTAAGAACGGTTATGCTCAAGTTGATTATTCTGATTGGTTCATTAAATCCACGTCTGCATAATGGACGATTGGTCGTCAGGTGGAGTTTTTATTATCTTTCGCGTAAAACAAGGTATTATCTTAGATTTACATGTAAATTGAGTTGAATGCTATTGGAATAATTCATATTTCAAATTAAATATTAGAAAACTATAAAATGATCTAATACCACCAAAACACTGAAAACTGTCTGTTTTCAAAATTTAATTTCTTTCAGAATACGGTGCATTTTTTTTTAAATAAATTCAAACACATAATTTATTTCTTAAATTTGTTTTAGAATAAACATTTTGGTTTTCTGTATTGTTATTCAGAGAACTAGGGAAAAAAATAAGTGCGTTTAAAAGTACAGTATATTATATTATATATTGTTGTTATCATTAAGTCGGAAAAACTGGAGTTACGGCCACCCATTTTTTTTTTTGATTGAGTTGTAGCAAATGGTTAAAAGAATCATTTTAATTATTTGCAGTTTGTAAATGATGTATCTTGATCAAATGCAGTTGTCCAGTTGCGCGATTATACACAATAATTTTATTTTTCAACTAATCCATGCATGTAAATTTAAATCGGAATTTAAAATGGGTCACCCACATAATGTTTATTTTTATTTTTTTTGATCGCTACTACAAAATAAAAAAACAAAATACAGTACAATAAATTCTTATTTTATAAAAAAAAAAAAATTCTTTTATTCAAATATTTTAATTTTTTAACAATAAAATTTAGTAAAAATAATATTTATTTATTTATTTATTTATAATTACCCAATCTATAATGTGTACATATAATATATAAACATATAGTAATTTTTTAATTTTTTTATTTTTTAGCCAACTACTTGACCTATTTGACCAAACCCATTTGACAAGAGACCTTCGACCTACAACCAACAAATTTATGATTGACTACCAACTATGATTATTGTATGTATAAATCATGCACAGCTCCGAAATTCGTATTTAATTTAGGTAGCTATTCAAAAATGCGCCTGTATTAAGTAGATAGTCTTCAAAATTTTTAATTTCAGCTAGAAATCAATTTTTATTTCGAAAAAGCAACAAAGATAAATGAGCTTGTTCCTTAGAAAAATTGCATAGTGGAACGTGACCTGATAGCAGGCACGTAATGACATGACTCGGATACCAGAAATAGGTTAACGGCACTTATATCGTTTATATCGCCGATATTGCATCATAAGGTGGATAGGAGATATAATAGCGAATATAATGGTTATAGTGATTATTTGCCTTGGCACTATGAGTAAGGCGGATTTTGTAATATATCCCACCGTTCCTCGCGAAGCAGTGCGGATTGTTGTAGTTATAGATTGATAGCAAGTAGTGTAGACTCTACAGTGTTGTTAATTTTTGCTTCCAGTAGTAATTCTCAGCCTTCCAGTGGAAATTTGTAATAGTAAAAGTTCCAGTAGTACTATTAATTTTCTTCCAATGGAGTTCCGGTTGTCTTCCAGTAGTTCCAGTTAACAACACTAGTGTAGACTACCGCTGTCACGATACTCGTCGCTAATTCGTCGGTTTTGGGTCTTCATTATTCTACTTAATTTGGCTTAATAATTGTCATTAGGCGCACTAAATCTAACCAAATTTGTGCAAAGCAATTTCGGGAAAGAAAAATTTTTTTTTTATCATACACATATAGATATATACTGTATGATGGTTTTTTTTTTAACGAATTGTTATTTTGCGAGTTTATAACGGTAATTACATGTATATTTTGCCAATTTCGATTTTGCCAATTTCAATTTTTATCAACTTCGATTCTTGCTAATTTCGATTTTGCCAATTTCGATTTTTGTTAATTTTTCGACTTTTCCAATTGCCAATTCTGCTAATTTCAATTTCCAATTCTGTTAATTTTCGATTTTGCCAATTTCTAGTTCTAAATCTCGTCAATTTATATAATGCTTAATTAAAGGTGCTACCTTCTATGATAGCTCTAGTAAAAGGAGTGTGTTCTATGTCAGGCATACGGGTTTGATTTGTAAGAATTCTGTTAACCTGATTGGCTAGGTCATTAAAGTAATTCTTATTGGCATAATTGTTCCAAATGCATGTAGTATATTGTTTGATTATTCTTTGGTTTCGGATGTTATGATGGTGACATTCAGGTTTAACAATATGATACAAGGCATCAAATCCCGTGAGTTCTTTACCATGGCAAGACCTAGCTAAGTCTTGTGGGTCATAATTCTGGTGTAAAAGCCCAGAAGTCGCAAAGTAATGTGAAAAGCGGATATCATCGGACATCGTTAATTTAATTTTTTTTTTTTTTTGTAGAATCTTGTTTAATGTATATATATGTAATATATATATATATTTTAGAGATCAATGTCCGTGATGAATTTCGGATAGGGTGGAATGGGTTTATATAATTTTTCGTCAGAACAATTTAATTAGAAACTTGACAAAATTATTCTTTTTTTTTTTGACAGTATGGACAAAATAACAAAAGATTATATGATTTTAACGCTTTGTATATTATGTCATGTGTATTATAACTGCAGCTAATTCTTTTGTCTTGGAAATGGAAAATTTCTGCATGTTGCATTTGGATCGGAAAATTGAGATATTTCGGAATAAAAATTACGACAGTCACACTTATGATAAACAATATGTTTACTTTGTTTAATAATTACTTTGTGTTTAACGTTGGAAATCGTACATTTCCGAATGGTCTAAAGAGCAGTCACATTTTTAAACATTATGCTTTTTTGAGAAAGATCTGTTGCATATGCATAAATTTTACGATCAGAGATCAGGCCAGTTTTTTTTCTTAAACAGTTTCCTTTTTTTTTTCTTTTAAAAAAAAAGCTGTCATTAATTTCCAAATGGTATTATTTAAGTACTGTAGGATAAAGCACTACAACTTAAAAAAAAAAATTGCTGTAACATTTACGTGATTAGTGATTCTAAAAAAAAC